GCACTTTCGAAGGCCTAAGCTGAATCTCAAACCGTGTTGATCATCATCTGCTCTCCCGTGATTGGTTGACACGACAAGTTCAAGTAGTGCTGATGGATGTTCCCATTGATTTTTAGACGATGCAATCACCACGTTGCAGTACTTGTGTACCAGTCCTCCGTCTTTGACATAATCGACATTATATTGGCCTGTGACTGTATAGCGCAATTTTCCGAGCCAATTTGATAGGATACTGGCCACCTGTTGTTGGTACACGCTTTCTCTTGGAACCAGCACTCCTGATTGATCATCAATCGTCATCTGCGCCTTCTTATGCGCGTAACGGGCTGCTGATTTGATGTTTTCTCTATCAAAGACGCGTAAGACCTCAATGAGAACATTGTAGTACTTGATCATGCCGTTTGTATACATTGGGACATCAATAGACGGACAGGCCGGGTAGATTTTGGGTAGAACGCTATGCAAGATAACGGAATGCAAAAGAGGCGAAGACAATTTGAAGCAATTGGTCGTCGTATCCATGATCAATACTCCATGTCGAGCGAGAAATTCGGCCAAGGCAATCTCGTCTCGAGTGGTAAGAGTAGCGGCTCTGGGGTCTGGTAAAAATTGCAACCGCAGAAGGTCCACTGCTGGCTTTGCTTCTTCCTTGAGGAGTTCATCCACAAGCCTGTTGAAGGTAGGTTGATCTATAACCGCCTGATTCAATGATGAAATTGCGAAACCTTTCCAGGTGGCCAAGTCCAGAAATTGGTTATTGAGCTCTCCCAACAGCACAGTATCTATCATATGCCCGCATAGACAGACCATGCTAGGCATGCCTGTGGAAAAAAAATGAGACAGTGCGATTTCAGTTGCACATGGTCTTAATCTAGCTTTCAGAACATACCGTTTGTCTGCCAATAGATATCTTCAATAACATCTGGCTTCACTTCCAACTTCTTGTTCGATGCGTATTCCTCGAAAAGCGCTTTTACCTGGTCTTTGGTAAGATAGGGGTTTTGAACAGGGTCACGGATGTTGAATGGCAATTCATAAACTTTATCTGAGTTTAGCCGCAGGATGCCAAAAGTGCTGATGGCAACCACCGAATGGATGGTAGAATTTCCTCCTGCGATCGCGTGTTTGATGGTGCGGAAATGGTCAAGGCACGAGTCACGAATCTCAGGTGCTGCAGAGTAAAGCTTGTCAAATTCATCAACGAAAATAACGACAGGATTCCAGTTTGAGAAAGCAAGCCGAAAGTCATCACCAGACTTGAGAGAGAAGTTGTAGCCCGTGCCCGCATGTTCTTGGAGGCTTTTTCCTATACCAATCCAGAACCTCTCCTCGTCAGAATGGACGTTGACGCTCTGTAAGGTTATGCTGTATTAAATGAAAAATATGAGCGTGATGGTCAGGTAATTAGGGAACAAGTCATACTTACTAAAAACAACAACAATTATAATTTTCTGTAAGGTATTAGTATTGCATAGTTCTATATATTCTTGTGGACTTTCCGGATGCCCGAGGACCATGGAGTGCAACGAGTTCTTTACGAAAAATTCTTGTCATCAATGCATCGTTGGTTGGCATTGGATCTGCATAATAGTAGCTAGTGGGATGCGGAGACATCACTGAATTAACAGTCCAGCTTTTGGTGGTAGGATAAGACACTAAAAAGATAGAAATCTATGTGAGTAAGAACTCGAGTACCGAGATGTTGCCGAAGAATACTACAGAGAAACTCTACACTACTCTATATCCAACCCAGAGTCACAAAGTCATTACCTGTGGTTCTACCCCTACCCTATGTCCCCAACGCCCGAGCACACGAAGAAGACTCATACTACTACGTCTACTCTACCCTGTACACTACTCTATGTCCCCAACGCCCAAGTCACAAAGTCGTTACCTGTCTGTTTGAGACAGAGTTCATCAAGCTCTAGCTTTTTTCTCTCAAGTTCCAGTCGCCAGGCTTCATTGAGATCTTGAGGTGAGGGGTTCGATACAGTCTCTTTATACTTCTGAGCAAATGTGAAGAAATCCATTGTAAAGACTGTTTATGTACTGCGCGATGTGATTTAATATACTAACGTCGATCAATGGCTTAATCAATAACGCGTTATTGGGAACTTTCTAGATCTTTTCAAAATGTAGAATGTGACCAATGATAATTGATGCGCAGAAATTCGCGCATATCAATTACGCATTAATGACTTTTAGTTAGAATATCGTGACTCAAAAAGATTCGCTATAAAAAACGACAGAAATCGAGCTAGTTTACAAAAAAGCTTCGCGAACTGCTTTACAAAAATCCATACAACAAACTTTATCATTTTAAAATGTTTGCTCTCACAAGCGAATTTATTATTGGATTGTTGATCAGGATATTCCCTTTATTATAAAATTCACAAAGATCAGCTGCGTAATATAAATCAAAAAATTGATAAAATAATCAATTTAAGTATTTTCCTCCCACGCAATCACTCTGGTGCATTTAGTATTGTTTATATTTTCAAGAGCGCGCACATTCAAATAAAATTTATGCTTACAATTATTTTTACATGTTCGACTTTTTGATTGCAATTGTGTCAAAGTAGCGAAATATGATCAGCGCTTTAACGAGTGCGCTCAAGAAGTTTTTATCAATAAGGAATGAACTTCCGTTGATAGGTCGTTCGATCAGTGGAAGCGTTGGCGAGAAGTTTTTACGCTTTACGTTTCTTCAAGTTTTCGCTTCTTTCTTGGTTCATCATGTGTTGCCATTAATGCTCGTTTAGTAGTTATGATTTTTCTTTTTTCTTGGTAAATTTCATAAGTAATTTTTTCTTGATCTAGATATTGCTGGAGAGTTTGGGTGTCATTAATTTTAAAAATGTATGGAGCAATTTTTTCTCCTTGAGCTTTCTTTAAAATACTTCTAAATGGTGCTGTAATTCTTGGGTTCCATGGTGGATTTAATGTAAATTAGTTTCATATTAATATTTTATATAGTAATAGGGATAGTCCTATATATATTAATCCTGTTATGGTTTATATTTCTCACCTTCTGGTATGATAAAGGGAACATTAAATTTAATAACTCCATAAGTTATGAATTAGCACCATTTTACTGTTCAAAATGTTATTAGTCAAATTAGTTAATTTTCAGCCACATCAGCCTCACATAATAAAATGTTCACTTTGTCTGGTTTTGTTGCAGCATGCCCCAAATAGTAATCAAGAGACAGTGTATAAAAACTTGTCATGCATCGTAAATGTTGAAAAACAGTTAAACGTTTCTAATGTGATTCAAAAGATTTGCCGATATTGAGAATCAGAGATAATAGGTTGAAAGACGCTGTTGTTACTCCCACATGTTTCAACCGCAAAACATTTATTGCTGAAGTTGAAGCTCAAGTAATAATGAAAAGTTGGGCATAACTCCATAAACTCCATTATAGTGCAAGTTTCTGTAATAATGTACTGTATATCAATAGAACTGTTACTAGCTGTGACAAAAAGTTTTTATAATGCATTTTTATTGTATTTAGTTTATTATAACAAACTGTATAAACAATTGACTAAAAACATTATTATTACAGTAACGACAAAGACAGCATTATGTTTTTCCGACGTTACGATTTGATTCTACCTGAAATGTGTGTTATTTTACTCTGTATCATTGACGTAGAAAATACGCTTCTAACTTTCTAACTTATTTGACAACTCTTACTGTATTTTTATGCTGGTTTCTGATAACGCAAAAAGTAAACACGTTTACTAGTTTCCTGTCTTCATTGATATTGTAATAGCTTTTTATTTGATTGAGAATCTTCAACTTGTCACTGTCAATTACCAGCAAGCTTAGACAGCTTTTTCTTTAGAATTATGGAATAACTTAAGAGGAGCATCTAAGTTGAAAAACCAGTTGTTAAAAGACGCCGTTAAATGCCATTTGTGACAGTGGATTATAACAAATAAGCGCTACAGTTTATATTGCAATGACGAATATTGCAGGCATGTATTTACAAAGGTGGGTGTGTTCTAATCTCTCAAAAATTTTACCAAGATCGTGAAGCAGAGCGATTGAAAGAATAAAGCGCGGCGCAATGCTTGTATTTCTATGAAGAACTTACAGCATATTTATATGTCAAACTTTTGACGTTGTATTCCAGAATGAGGACAACTATAACTCGTCGCTTGTCTTTTCTTTTATTAATTGACATGCTGTTACGTCTTTATGAAGACAAGTTTTGTCCCTAGTAACTTCAATGTTGAATACGATTGTATTGTCAAAACGCAAGCGTATTCTCGTTAAAAATAAAGACCTTGGTTAATGGAATAACCAGGAAATTTAATGGCGCTCAAATAAATAGTCTAGTTTGGGTAAGCAGCAAACTCTTGCATAAATTGATTGTAATATGATACGATTTATTACTGTAATGTTTATAAAGCTAACATTAAACTAACAGTAAAATTTCTTTTATCCCCAATGTTATCTACTTTAGAATAATGTCTTCTACTTCATTAAAGATAATACATTATTAAATTTATTCCCAAATAGAGTTCAGAAATTTTGTTTATAACTATTGTAATGTAAGATAATTCTAATAACGTAGATGAACACATTTATAGAAGATTTGACTCAAAAAACATTATTGGAATGCGGGCTATGAAAAGAACGACATCCTTTTAGAACAAATCTGCAAAGTGAGGCAGGCAGATAATTAGGGAATAGTTTGCATGATGCTCGATTAGTATTCGTAGTTTTGTTAGTATGACTTTCATCTTTTGAACATATTCATATCCTACACGACAGGTATATCAGAATTGTTATACAACGCGCACCGTATTATGCAAAAAAAAACGAAAAGGCCATGTTCTTTAACGGAGTTGTTTACTGATACGTGAGTATTTGTGTAGATTTAAAATATTTTTGATAATACGAAAGCTATATACATGAATTACGCATACTGAAAGTTTGTTCATAGACAGCTCCGTTTGCCTAAGAACACTTTACCGGGCAAAAAGTTTCCGCTATGACTGGCACAAATTCAAACCTTGATTATAAATTTTTGCGTCCATATACACTCACCGGCAAAAAGTATCGACAAAAATCTTGGTGTAACACAACACTGCATAAAAATCGTCAACTTCGATGG